TTTTCTCCTTTCATTTTTTCTACTTTTTTTTCATTTTTTTTCTCTTCTTTTTTCCTTTTTCTCCCTTTTACATTTTCTTTTTTTTTTCCTTTCATTCCTTTTTTCATTTTTTTTTTTCATTTTTTTTTTTTTTTTATCTTCCTTTTTTTTTTTATATCTCAAATATTCTCTTTTCTATTTTTTTATTCTTTTTTTTTTTTCTTTATTTTTCTTTTCCTTTTTTTTTCTCCTTTTTTCTTCCATGCTTTCTACCTTCCTTTTTTTTCCTTTTTTCTTAAGGTGATTTAATTTTTTTATGTTTTTCTTCCATCTCCCTTTTTCATTCCCTTTTTCTTAAAAAAATTTTTTCTTTTCCTTTTCTTCAAGAAAAATTTTTTCTTCTTTTTTTTTTTTTCTTCTTTTTCATCTTTTTTTTCCATTTTCTTTTTTCTTTTTTCTTTTTTTTTTTTTTTCATCATTTGTTTTATTTTTCAATTCTTTTTTTCTTCCTTTTCATTCTCCTTTTCTCTTTTCTTTTTTTCATTTTTTTTTTATTTTCCAATTTTTTTTTTTTTTTTTTTTTTCTTTTTTTTTTTTCATTTTTTTTTTTTTCCATTTTTTGTTTTTTTTTTTCTTTTTCCCTTTTGTTTCTAAATTTTTCCTTTTTTCTTTTTTGGGCTTTTTTTTTTTCTTTTTTCTCTTCTTTTTTTTCTTTTTTTAATTTTTTTTTTGTTTTCAAATTTTTCTTTTTTTTTTTTTTATCTTTCTTTTTTTCCCAATTTCTTTTTTTTTCCATTTTTTTTTTTTTTTTTTTCTTTTCCTTTTTCTTCCATTTTCTTTCCTTTTTCCTTTTTTTCCATTTTTTCTTTTTTTCAAAAGCTTCTTTTCATTTTTTTTCCTTTTTTCTTTCCAATCAAAATTTTTTTCTTTTTTTTTTTCTTTTTTTTTTTTATTTTTCCCTTTCTTTTCCTTTTTCTTTTTTTTGCCTTTTTATCTTTTTTTTTTTCTTTTTTTTTCTTTTTTTCCTTTTTTTTCTCCTTTCTTTTCTTTCTTTTTTTCTTTTTTTTTTTTTTCTTTTCTTTTTTTCCATTTTTTTTTTTCTTTTTTTCCTTTTCTTTCTCTTCCTTTTCATTCTTTTTTTCCTTTCTTTCATTTTTTTTTCTTTTTTTTCTTTTTCTTTCTTTTTTCTTTCCTTTTCTCTTTTCATCTTTGCTTTCTTTTCTTTTTTTTTCTTTTTTCTTTTTCCTTTCATTCCTTTTTTACTTTCATCTTTCTTTTTTTTTTTTCTCCTTTTTTTCCTTTTTTTTTTCTTTTCTTTTTGATTTCTTCCTTTTTCTTTCTTTTTTTCTTTAATTTTTTATTCCAATTTTTCCTTTTTTCTTTTTCTTTTTCTTCTTTTCTTTTTTTTTTTATTTTTTTTCCCTTTTCTTTCTTTTTTCTTTTCTTTTTCCCCTTTTTCTTTCTTTTCTATCTTTTTATTTTTTTCTTTTCCATTTTCTTCCTTCTTTTTCCTTTTTTTTTTTCCAGTCATTCCTTTTTTCTTTTTTTCTTTTTCTTCTTTTTTTTCTTTTTTTTTTTTCCTTTTTTTTTTTTCTTTCTTCTCATTTTTCCTCTTTTTTCCCGTTTTTCCATTCTCTTTTCCTTTTTCATTTTTTTTCACTCTTCTTTTTCCTTTTTCTCCTTTTTTCTTATTTCTTTTTCCTTTTTTCCTTTTTTTCACCTCTTTTATTTTTTCTTTTCCCTTTTCTTTTTTTTTTTTTTCCTTTTTTATTTTTTCTTATTTTTTCTCCTTTTTTTTTTTTCCTTTATTTTTTTTTTTCCCTTTTTTCTTTTTTTTTTTTTTTCTTTTTTTTTTTTTTTTCTTTTTCCTTTTTTTCTTACCTTTTTTTTTCCTTTTTCTCCTTTTCTTCCATTCTTTCTATTTCCTTTCATTCCTTTTCTTTTTCTCATCTTTTTTTTCTTTTCTCCTTTTTTTTCCATTTATTTTTTCTTCCTTTTTCTTATTTTTCTGCTCTTTTTTTTCTCCTTTTTTTTCATTCTCTCTTCCTTTCATTCCTTTTTTTTTCACAATCATCTTTTTTTCTCTCTTTTCTTTTTTTCTTTTTTGTTTTCTTCCTTTTCTTTTCTTTTTTCTCTTTTTGCTTTCTTTTCTTTTCTCTTTTCTTTCTTTTCTTCATGCTTTTCCTTCCTTTCTATTCCTTTCTCTCTTTTCACTTCATCTGCTTTCTTCCTTTTTTCCCTTTTTTTTTTTTTTCTCTTTTTCCTTTTCTTCCCTTTTTCTTACTTCTTTCTGCCTTTTTCTTCTTTTCTCCCTTTTTCTTCCATGCTCTCTACCTTCTTTTCATTTTCTTTTCTCTTTTTTTCTTTTCTGCTTTTCCTCTTTTCTCCCTTTCTTTCTTTCTTTCTCTTTCTTTTTTTCTTTCATTCATTTTTTTACACTTTTCTTCATTTTTTTGTTCTTTCTTTTTTTTTCTTTTCCTGCTTTTCTTTTCTCTTCTTCTTTTCATTCCTTTTCTCTTACACTCTCATCTGCTTTCTTCCTTTTTTCTCCCTTTTTTTTCCATCTTTTCTCTACCTTTCTTTCATTCTTTTTCTCTTTCTTTCTCTCTCTTCTCCTTTTTTTTTTTTACCTTTTTTTTTCCTTTTTCTTCCAAAATTTCTTCCTCTTTTCTTTTTTTTCCAAACCTTTTCTTTCTTCCTTTACTTTCTCATCTGCTTTTTTTCTTTTTTCCTTTTTCTTTTTTCTCTTTTTTCCTTTTCTTCCTTTTCTCTTTTTTTCATCTGCTGCTTTCTCTCTTCTTTTTTTTTCTTTTTCTACCTTCCTTTCATTCCTTTTTTCTTACACTTTTTCTTCCTTCCTTTTCTCCCTTTTTTTTCCATCTCTCTACCTTCCTTTCGTTCCTTTTTTTTCCTCTCATCTTTTCCTCTTTTTCCTTTTTCCATTTTTCTTTCCTTTCCTTTTTACCTCAACTTCTTTTTTCTCTTACTACTCTCCTTTCTTTCTTTTCTCTTACCTCTTCCTTTTTCTTTTCTCCTTTTTTTTCCCATGCTCTCTACCTTCCTTTCATTCCCTTTTCTCTTAAACTCATCTGTCTGCTGATGAAACTCTGTCTCTCTTTTTTTCTTTTTCTCTCTTTTCCTTTCATTCCTTTTCTCTTACAATTCTGATTCCTTCTTCTCCTTTTCTTCATTTCTCTACCTTTTTCATTCTTTTCTCTTTCTCAATGTGCTTCCCTTCTTCTCCCTTTTCTTCCATTTCTACCTTCCTTTCATTCCTTTTCTCTTACACTCTTTCTGCTGCTTCCCTCTTTCTCCTTTTTCTTCCATTTCTCTACCTTCCTTTCATTCCTTTTCTCTTACAGAATCATCTGCTGCTTCCTCTCTTCTCCCTTTTTTTCCCATTTCTCCTTTTTTCCTTTCCTCTTTTTCTTTTCATTCTTTCTTCCTTTTTCTCCCACTTTTTCTTCCCTTTCTTTCCACTCTCATTCCTTTCTGCTTTTCTCTCTTGCTTTCTCTTCTCCTTTTTCTTCCATGCTCTCTAATTCCTCTCTTCCTTTTCTCTTTCATTTCATCTTTTTTCCTTTTTCTCCCTTTTTTCTTCTCATCCTTCTTTCATTCCTTTTCTTTTTCTTTTCTTCCTCTCTTCTCCCATTTTTTTCCATTCTCTACCTTCCTTTCATTCCCTTCTTTACAAATCTTTTCTTCCTTTTTTCTCCTTTTTTCTTCCATTCTCTTTTTCTTCCTTTCATCTTCTTTTCTCTTCCACTCTCATTTGTCCTTTTTCTCTTTTCTTTTCCTTTTCTTCTCTTTTTTCTTCCTTTCATTCCTTTTCTCTTTCATTTTCTGATTCCTTTTTTCTCCCTTTTTCTTCCATCTCTCTACCTTCTTTCTTCCTTTTTCTCTTTTTCTCATCTCCTTTTCTCTTCTCCTTTTTTTCCATCATTCCTTTTTTCTTCCTTTCTCTTACACTCTCATCTGCTGCTTCCTTTTTCTCCCTTTTTCCTTCTTCTACCTTCCTTTTTTCCTTTTCTCTTTCTCATCTTTTTTCCTCTTTTCTCCCTTTTTTTTTCTTTTTCTAATTTTTCATTCCCTTTTCTCTTACACTCTCATCTGCTGCTTCCTCTTTTCTCCCTTTTTCTTTTCTTCCTTTTTTCTTTCTTTTTCTCTTTTCTCATCTTCCTCTCTTCTCCCTTTTTCTTCCATGTCTCTACCTTCCTTTCATTCCTTTTCTCTTTACTCTCATCTGCTTCTTCCTCTTTTCTCCCTTTTTCTTTTTCATGCTCTCTACCTTCCTTTCATTCCTTTTCTCTTACACTCTCATCTGCTCTTCCTCTCTTCTCCCTTTTTTTCCCATGCTCTCTACCTTCCTTTCATTCCTTTTCTCTTACACTCTCATCTGCTTTCTTCCTTTTCTCCCTTTTCTTCCATGCTCTCTACCTTCCTTTTCATTCCTTTTTTCTTACACTCTCATCTGCTGCTTCCTTTTTTCTCCCTTTTTCTTCCATGCTAGAACCTTCCTTTCATTCCTTTTTTCTTACACTCTCATCTTCTGTTCCTTCTCTTCTCCTTTTTTCTTTTCTGCTCTCTACCTTCCTTTCATTCCTTTTCTCTTCCAATTCATCTGCTGCTTCCTCTCTTCTCCCTTTTTTCTTCCATGCTCTTTATCATTTCCTTTCTTTCCTTTTCTCTTCCTCTCATCTTTTTTCTTTATTTCTTTTTCTTTCCTTTTTTTTCTCTTCTCTTCCTTTCTCTCTTCTCCCTTCCTTTCATTCCTTTTCTCTTTTTTTTCATCTCCTGCTTCCTCTCTTCTCCTTTTTCTTCCATGCTTTCTATCTTCCTTTCATTCCTTTTTTCTTACACTCTCATCTGCTGCTTCCTCTCTTCTCCCTTTTTTTCTTCCATGCTCTCTACCTTCCTTTCATTCCTTTTCTTACTTCATCTGCTGCTTCCTCATTCTGGCTTTTTCTTTTTTTCTTTTTCCTTTCCCTTTTCTTTTCCATGCTCTCTTCTCCCTTTTTTTAATGAACTCCCTTTTTCATTTCCTTTTCTCTTACATCTTCTGCTTTCCTCTCTTCTCCTTTTTCTTCCATGCTCTCTACCTTCCTTTCATTCCTTTTCTCTTACACTCTCATCTGCTTTTTCTTTTTCTCCCTTTTTCTTCCATACTCTCTATCTTCCTTTCATTCCTTTTCTCTTACACTCTCATCTGCTGCTTCCTCTCTTCTCCCTTTTTTCTTCCATGCTTTTTCTACCTTCCTTTCATTCCTTTTCTCTTACACTCTTCTCCCTTTTTCTTCCTTTCTCTCCTCCTTCCTTTTTCTCCTTTTTCTTCTCCCTTTTTCTTCTTTTTTTTCCTTTCATTCCTTTTCTCCTTTTTTCAAACTCATTTTCCTTTCATTCCTTTTCTTTTTTTCATTTTTTCTTCTTCTTTCCTTTTTTCTTCCAAACTTTCTATTCCTTTTTCCCTTTCTCTTCCCTCTCATCTTTGCTTCCTCTTTCTCCTTTTCTTCCATAATAACTACCTTCCTTTCATTCCTTTTTTCTTACACTCTCATCTGCTAACTCCTCTTTCTCCTTTTTTTCCATGCTCTCTACCTTTTTTCATTCCTTTTCTCTTACACTCTCATCTGTGCTTCTCTTTTCTCCTTTTTTCTTCCATGCTCTCTACCTTCCTTTCATTCCTTTTCTCTTTCACTTTTCATCTGCTGCTTCCTCTTTTCTCCCTTTTTTCTTCCATGCTCTCTACCTTCCTTTTCATTCCTTTTCTCTTACACTCTCATCTGCTGCTTCCTCTCTTCTCCCTTTTCTTCCATGCTCTCTACCTTCCTTTCATTCCTTTTCTTTTCACTCTCATCTGCTGCTTCCTCTTTTCTCCCTTTTTTTCCCATGCTTCTATCTTCCTTTCATTCCTTTTCTCTTACACTCTCATCTTTCTTTCCTCTCTTCTCCCTTTTTCTTCTTCTATGCTCTTCTTTTTTCCTTTTCATTTCCCTTTTTTTCCACTCTTACCTTTTCATTCTGCTGCTTCCTCTTTTCTCCCTTTTTCTTCCATGCTCTCTATTTTCCTTTCATTCCTTTTCTCTTACAATCTCATCTGCTGCTTCCTTTTTTCTCCTTTTTCTTCCATGCTCTCTACTTCCTTTCATTTTCTTTTCTCTTACACTCTCATCTGCTGCTTCCTCTCTTCTCCCCTTTTCTTCCATGCTCTCTACCTTCCTTTCATTCCTTTTCTCTTACACTCTCATCTGCTGCTTCCTCTCTTCTCCTTTTTCTTCCATGCTCTCTACCTTCCTTTCATTTCCTTTTCTCTTACATTCTCATCTGCTGCTTCCTCTTTTCTCCTTTTTCTTCCATGCTCCTTCCTTTCATTCCTTTTCTCTTACACTCTCATCTGCTGCTTCCTCTCTTCTCCTTTTTCTTCCATACTCTCTATCTTCCTTTCATTCCCTTTCTCTTACACTCTCATCTTTGTCTTCCTCTCTTCTCCTTTTCTGCTCTCTACTTTCATAGCCTCATCTGCTGCTTTTTCTCCCATTCTTCTGCTCTCTACCTTCCTTTCATTCCTTTTCTCTTACACTCTCATCTGCTGCTTCCTCTCTTCTCCCTTTTTTTCTTCCATGCTCTCTACCTTCCTTTTCATTCCTTTTCTCTTACACTCTCATCTGCTGCTTCCTCTCTTCCTCCCTTTTTTCTTCCATGCTCTCTACCTTCCTTTCATTCCCTTTCTCTTACACTCTCATCTGCTGCTTCCTCTTTTCTCCCTTTTTCTTCCATACTCTCTACCTTCCTTTCATTCCCTTTCTCTTACACTCTCATCTGCTGCTTCCTCTTTTCTCCCTTTTTCTTCCATACTCTCTACCTTCCTTTCATTCCTTTTCTCTTACACTCTCATCTGCTGCTTCCTCTTTTCTCCCTTTTTCTTCCATGCTCTCTACCTTCCCTTTCATTCCTTTTCTCTTACACTCTCATCTGCTGCTTCCTCTCTTCTCCCTTTTTTCTTCCATGCTCTCTACCTTCCTTTCATTCCCTTTTCTCTTTTCTCATCTGCTTCCCCTCTCTTCTCCCTTTTCTTCCATGCTCTCTACCTTCCTTTTCATTCCTTTTCTCTTACACTCATCTGCTGCTTCCTCTCTTCTCCCTTTTCTTCCATGCTCTCTACCTTCCTTTTTCATTCCTTTTCTCTTACACTCTCATCTGCTGCTTCCCAACTTCTCCCTTTTCTTCCATGCTCTCTACCTTCCTTTTCATTCCTTTTCTCTTTTACTCTCATCTGCTGCTTCTTCTTTTCTCCCTTTTCTTCCATGCTCTCTACCTTCCTTTCATTCCTTTTCTCTTACACTCTCATCTGCTGCTTCCTCTCTTCTCCCTTTTTCTTCCATGCTCTCTACCTTCCTTTCATTCCTTTTCTCTTACACTCTCATCTGCTGCTTCCTCTCTTCTCCCTTTTTCTTCCATGCTCTCTACCTTCCTTTCATTCCCTTTCTCTTACACTCTCATCTGTTGCCTTCCCATTGCACACTTTCTCTTCCATGCTCTCTGTCTTTTTTTTTCATTCTCTTTCTCTTCCAGTCTCTTTTGTTGCCTTCCCTTTGTTCCTCTTCCTTTTCATTATCTCTAACTGCTTTTCTTTCATTCCCTTTCTACTCTCTATAGATTTCTTTCTACTCTTGTTTTTCTTCTTTCTTTCTAAACTCTTTTTCTCTTTCACTTTCTGTAACTGCCTTTCTTTTGCTTGCTTTCAGTACTATTCTCTTTAATATAAAATTACAACAAATATTCATACCCTTTCTCAATAAGTGGAGTTTGGCGACATGATTTTTTTTCACACATGATTGAAATTTGCATAACATATATTATTCTGAAGATGACACTTTCCCCTTGTGTTTCTATACAATTTATGTTTGGATTGTGAATTTGAAATTTTTATATGTTGAAAACAAAAACGCAGAAAAATAAGATGCATTGTAATATAAAGTCTATCCATCGATACTTGCGATCAGTATGCATTTTAGTGCCCCCCTTTTGACAAACAACAACTTCATGATAGAAGCAACACAAAATGAACTTGAAAACCCACTACAAACAAGCAGACATAATCTTTTTCAGCACAATATATATATAATGTGCTGAAAAAGATTATTTTAAGAAAACTATTGCTCGCTTGCACCACTAGAGTTCCTTTTTATAACCAGAATGGTAATATTTATACACAAACTGATGGAGTAAGTATGGGAAACCCTCTTGGACCATGCTTCTCCAATTATTATATATCCTATGTTGAAAACAATGTTTTTACTAAAATTAAATATATGTTTTATTATTAGACAATATTTTTTTTTTGGCTTTTTGTCAAGAAGATATATATATATATATATATATATATATATATATATATATATATATATATATATATATATATATATTTGGTTGAATAGATGTGAGTTTGTGACCCTTTACTTTATGCTTTTGTCCTCGTCAGACAAAACCTCACATATAATATATAAATATTATACATATATATATTTATTTATTTACACTTTTCTGTATATATATATAATTATTATTTAAAATATGATTCCAACATTTTCTATGTCTCATAGTGGAATCATATTTTTAATAAATTATATTTAACCCCTTACACTTTCATGTTGCTATTTTTCCATTTAATAAAAAAATACTAAAGATTATTTGGATTATTTAGTTTCCACTTCCTAAAATCCATATATTTTCATGAATATATATATAAAATATATATTATAAAAGTTAAAATGTTTTTTCCTTATAAGTCATTTGTTGTTATACCCATTTTATAAATAATTTCATATTATATATAAATCTTTCTTTATTTATATATATATTGTTTGTCAGCATAAAAAAAAAGATGTATGTATGTAAAAAAATATTTCATTATAGGTTTCTTTTAAAACAGACCTCAAAAAAAAAAAAAAATACAATCATTGTGATTAAAATTTACCTTTATCTGAATTGTATCAATAATTATTTCATTAATTTCTTGTATTTGTTTTTTGGTAATTACCTTCCTTTAAAAAGAAAAGCCAAAATTAAATATTTTATTTTTTTTTTAATCTTTTTTTTTTTGTTTAAAAAAATCATGTACCTTGTAGAAAATTATCTTTAAAACTTGCACATTCAAACCTTTTAAAAATTATCAGAAATTTTTTTTGGTTCCAAATAGTTAAAATTTTCAAAGAAAAATTGAAAAATGAGTAAGAAAATTCAAAATTTTCTTTCAAAATAAAAAATTAAAATAACAGTTCAATAGAATTATTTTGACAAAAAATTTATTTTAAAAATAATTCAATCGTTTAGAAACTGATTTTAAAGAGGTTTCTTCCTTTAGTCTTTTTTTTTATATATAAATTTTTTAATTTTTAAAAATCAAAAAAACTTTTCCTCTAAATTCAATTCTCTAAATGTCTTATTTCTTACTATGTGATTTTTTTATAAAAAAAAAGTTCATTTTTGGAAATATTCAACATTAAATGTTAAGGTTTATCAATATAAATTTTGGCTGAAATGAGATATTCTTCTTAAGAGAAATAATATCTATTAATTCAGCGTTTTTCTAAACATTTTATAATAATTTATGAAAAACAAAACCAAAAGAATAAAAACTAAAAAATTTATTTTTAAAAAACTATTTTAAAAAATTTGTTTTTGTTTGTTTTGAGAAACATAAAAAATGTTTATGAAAGAAAGTAAAATTTCATGAATAAAAATCCACTTTCAGAAAAATATTGGCTGAGGAAAGAAGTGAAAATCATAAAAAAAACTAAAATAAATTGATTAATTTTTGACACAAAAATACAAAAAATCAATTTCTTTAAAAGAAGATGAGAAAAGGAAATGATCAAAAAAAAAATTTTTTTTTTTTTTAATAGAATATTTTTGATAAATATATATTGTTAAATATTTCTATTTATATACATAAAATTTAAATAAGAATTACTTAAAGAAAAGATGTTGTATTGAAATTTGTTTGAAGATTGTTTGTGTCTTCAGAAAAGATATCACAAGTATTGTCATCCCTGATAAATTATTCATGACTAATTTAATGTTTTTAAGTTAAGCATTTTCTGGGTTTTTAGTTTTTTTGAAAATAAATTTAATTTAGAAAGAAAATTTTTTACCATAAATAAGATAAAAAAAATAATTAATGTTTTAACAAAATGTTTAATTGAAAACAAAAAAAGAAATTTTTCTTTATTATTTAATTTGTTAAACTTAAAATAAAGTGAAAATTTCTCATATTTTTTTATTTAAAATCTTTTTTAAAAAAATTTAAAAATTCAAAAAATTCTGAAAAACCTTGTCAGATTTTGATAAATCTAATTTCAACAATAGACTGAATTTTAAAAATTAGAAATTACATTTAACCTTTTTAAAATAAAAACTTTTTTTTTGAATATATCAAAAAAATTTTAATTTTAAATTTATATAAAATATAGTTTAATCCGTTTGATAAAAATTAAAATGTTTTTTTAATAAAACAAATGTTTTAATTGTTTTTTTTTGTTTAAATTGATTATTAGATTAAAATCAATGACTTCAATGGTCATACATTTGCGTTGGATTTATATTTAATTCATTTTTGTTATATATGTAAAAGATTTTAAAAATAACGACATGCAATATTTATTTGAAAAACTTAAATAGTAATTCTGAGAATATTATTTTATGGATTTCTGTAAAAAATTAAAATTGAAAAAATCAAAGCCAAAAGCATAAAAAACTTTCGAATTAAAAAACAGATAATTTATTTAAAAATATTTTTTTTAAATTTTTTGCATACCATTTAAAAACATTAAATTTTTTTTTTCAATTAAAAATGTCAAAAACCAACATTGAAATATTTTTTTTTTTTTATAAATGTTTTCTTCAGATGAAATGAATTTTAAAGGTTTGATAAAAATTTTTCATGGAATATATAAATGTATTTGATATTCAACATTTACTCTATAAAACATATTAGTTATTTTTCACACATTCTAGGTCACAAATTCTATTATTTTTTAATCAAAATTATATATAATTAAAAATAAAAAAATAAAATTTAAAATAAATTTTTTTCTAATTTAGTCTTCTTTGGAGTATAATTGAACAAGAACTTCTTTATTTTAACTTAGATTCTCCAATTAAAATTTAATCATATTTAATTTTTTTATTTTTCTAAAAAAATTATGTAAGATTTTAAATATTTCTTTCTAACTTATATTTATATTTTTTTTAATTTTTTAATATTTATATAAATAAAAATTTATTAAATAAATTGGTAAAAAAAAAATGTTTAAATAAAAATTTAAATTTTATCAAAATCATCAATTTATACAAATGATATCTATATTTCATTATATTTTATAAAAAAAATAAAAACTTAAATGTTTTAATTTATTTAAACACATTTTTTTTAAAATACAGTTGAATTAAATTATTTGTTAAATAAATCATTAATTTTCAAAAAAATTTTTGATTTTGATGTTTTGTAGAAATTATAAAAAAAAAAAAATTTTATTTCAAAAAATGTAAAATTTTTTGAAATTTTAAAAAATTTTTAAATCTTTTTCTGTATTTCATTTTTTTAAAAAATAAATTCTGAATTATTTTTTTTTTAAATATTATGAATATTAGTAAATATAAATTTTTAACAAAAATGATACCATTTTTTTAGAAACCAAATTATTATGTTTTTTATTTGATATATTAATTTAATAAAATTGAATTACTAAAAAATTTTTTTAAAATTTTTTAAAATCTAACTAGAAGAAAAAAAATTTATCGTTTTCATGTGTAAGTTTAAATGTTAAAATTCAATTCATCAAATAATTTTATTTTTAAAAATTTTCCTATAGATTAATTTATAAAATATATTTAAAAGAACTTTTTTTAAGGAATCAAAATGAAAAAAAATAAAATAAAAAAGGAAATCTTAAAAAGTTTTTATTTATGAAACAATAAAAATTCATTTTTGTTCCTTAGGAAAAAATATTTCTTATGGCCTTTCCTTATACTTTTTATCTTTTGAAAAATATATTAGTATCAAACTTTTGAATTTTTTAATTTTTTTAAAAAAGAATTTGAAAAAGAAAAAATATAAAAATAAATAAAAATAAATTAAAAAGTATTTTGGAATAGAAATAATGTTTATATTTTGATTTTAATTTTTGTCTTTCAATTAAAGTCCATTTTAATTCATTTTATAAAATTAATATAAAATGATTTAGAATGTATTAAAAATTTTGAAACATTAAAATAATCATTTGTTTTTAACAAACTATTAAAAAACACTCCTTTCTTCTGTTTTTGAGATTTAAAATAAATTTTTTCATTCAAAATTTTAATAAAAAAAAAAAAAAAATAAATTTTGTTTGGATTTAAAGAATAATTTTCATTTTTTGAATTTGAATGTAAAACTTTAACAAAATTATAACATTTCATTTTTTAACTTTTGAAAATTTCTCATTTAAATGTTTTATTAGAAAATTTCAAAATAAAGATTAAATTCATTTTCTTTTTTTGAATTTCTCATTAAATTTTTTTATTTAAATAAATAAATAATTGATTGTATAAAATTAAAAATTTATGTTTAAAAAAATAATTTGAAAAAAAAAAAATTTTTTTCATAATATCTAAAACAAAATGTTGTTTTTTTTTTATAAATTTTTATTCTTGGTGAAAAATTAATATGCAAAAAAATTTTTAATTTTTGTATTATTTTGTATTATCAAATCTTTCCAGA